TCTTTGTCGCCATATTTATTACAACGTTTCAGGCGTTGTACGCTCCAGCCTTCTTCAGGTGGTTGGAATATCGAACTTAACCCTTTATTTCGCTCACTGGAGTAGACTGTTCTAGTTAATGGATGTCAGTTCAGTTATCTCCTGTTAATTTCCCTTTGAAAGTTCTCCACTGCCTTGAGGACATATGTGTATGAATTTCTGAGTATTATAAACCTAATGTCTCAGCAACCATTTTTACCAGTGCTTATATTGCAATTTTTGCTGTTATCATACATGTTTTTACCAGAGCTCATATTGCAACTTTTGTTGTTATTATCGCTTTTCTCTGGCACTCCTTATTACTGGCTCCCATATTGTATTCATTTCTATGCTTGGTTATTATTTTTGTTGTCAATTCTCTAGAACAAAGAAAATGTATAAATTCATTTACTCATTTTTAGGTTTTATTACAATTCTAATCATCTCTTGAGGACACATGGCACAGTGGCTTGTAAAGTTTGAACAAACCTTATGTATATGTTACTCGTACTACTATGCTACTTTTTCACGCCGTCGTCATCGAGATTAAGTTAATTTCCCTATCGGAAATAACCGCCTCAAAATTCAGGTTCGCCTATCGCCCGGTTCATACTCCTCCCCGGTCAATTGACCAAGAGTAGACGTTTATTCCTTGTTTTCTTTTTAGGATTGGATTCCAGGTCCCTTCTAAAGTCTTTTCTTTCTCTTTCCTTCCAAGGAACCCCTTGCGTCTTAGTGGTGTATCAATCTGATTTCTCACACATCTTTAGAAGATAAGGAGATAAATTTCTTCCATTTAAGTTCACTCAGCTATTGGACTTTCGTAGGAATTTTGTCTCTAGTCCAACTTGAGTGAACTTAGGAGTTAGTGTTTTAGGATCCATATCTCCAGTTCGCTTTTAAATTGGGAATTGGACCCCAGGATTATCGATATAAGCAGAGAGAGGTAGAAAGTCGGGGAAAAAGTGGGTCCAGCCGTGAGAGAAGTAGATAGGTGACCAGAGGTGTTGGAGCTGCCCAGCGGCCAGTGACAGAAGGACCGGTAATGAAGAATCAGGAGTCGCCAAGCTCAGAGGCCAGTGAAAGTTAAAAAGATAGCAGCCCACCTCTCGAAGCTGAAGGAAGGACCCCACGTTTAAGTGAGAAATCGTATTGTTGCTACTTTCCAACCAGAGTCTTGAAAAACAATTGTCTTCATTTTATTTGTTGAAAGCGATCACGGCTGAGAAGACGAACCTGTGCACATAGCGAGTTGGGTGTATATGCAAATACACTCAACCTTGGATGTCATCACAGGTGTAGTGAACGACGAACGATCGGAGGACGTCGTCACAAAACTCGTCATAATTTCGCCACGAATGGCGCTACACCAGTATTTTTATCGATGGTTCTGAAGTTAGCTTTAGTCGTAATGGACGTTCAAGGCAAGAAGACTCATGAATCAATGGCTGACTAGCAGAGACTCTTTATAATAGTACAAATAATTTCAATACTATTAAATTTTTCTACTTGATCTAAAAAAAAATTGTTACAATTAATAACCATCCTGCCTGGTGCCTCATGTAGCATAATGTCTCCACTATGTCCTGTTCGTAGCTGCCATTCATACCTCATCCAAGGATCGAAAGCCTATTGCTTCCCTCTCCTCTTCTATAGACCCTTGTCATGTACTTTTTGGTTTTCTCCTTTCCTCTTCAGAGACCCAGATCAGTGTTGCTGTCGTTGTTTAGGTATTGCCCAAAGCGATAACTTAAGCTCAAAATCATTGGCCCCCAGTCGGGCAGGACATGCGCACGCTTTCTTGGCCTATTCTTAGAAAATATGACCGATGAATTTCTTCTTCGCCGTATCTCGAAACTAAGGGGTTCTATGAAACAAATCCGCCGTTTTCACATGGTCTTGCCATCTCATCTTGAGGATTTTTAGCTAATTATGAAATCGTCATTTTTTTTCACGTCTCGCAATTAAGAATTATAACTAAAATGAAAAATTAAAAATCTAGCGTTCATATGACTAATGTGAATCCTGTTCTGTCTCGCCAATGTAGATTTGGTTGAAATAAACCCATTTTTCTGTTGACTGATCAGCGAAACGTGTCAAAGTAAATTTTCCAAATTGCTTTATATATTTGTCATTCCGTCAGATTCTCATCCATATTGAAATCAAAATCAACAACGAATAAAAGAATGAACCCTTATTTTTGTAGCAATACGATTCTCAACATCCTTAGGAGATAAACAGATTCTTTCCCCATTTAAGTCAATTTAATGACCAGAGTTTTCAGGAATCCTGTCTGCAGCCTGCCTTTGAATTGGCTAACATAACTTTTTGTTAGTGATTTTAAATAATCATAAAAGTAGAGCCCTTTGAAAAACTGACCACTCAAAAGCTGAATGAGCGGAACACAAGTGGACGGATAGGTGTGATGGGACCCCAGCCAGTATCCATATAATGAGTCAGTCAACCAGGAAGTCAGCAGAGAGAGTGTCGAGGGAAACGGTGAGAGTCAATGAGGAAGGGAGCGGCAATGAATGAGTCAGCAGTTGCCGAGATGGTTGGGTAGTGAATTTAAGGGTCCCTTTTCCGTGACCGGAAGTTAGTGAGATAGCAGGAGTTCACCTTCTCGAAGCCGAAGGAAGACATTGCCCATTAACTTCCCAATTAGTGTCTTGAAAAGCATTTGTCGTTATTCCTTGTTGAATCCAATCACGGCCAGCGAGACAAACCTGTGAACATAGCAAGCTATCAGCGAGATGGGTTCAAAATTCTGGCCTACTCGGTTCCGTTTATCCTTGCATAAATAGATTTCGGAAAAGAGGCATGAATCCATCTATTCTCCAGCAGGGCAGACCGAGCCTTCTAAACCTGATTGGCTGCCAGTCTAGAAGAATGTCTACTCTGAATTCAAAACTTTGGGGAAGGGGACGGGAAATCATTCCACCGTCCATCGTCTTTCTCAAGAAGGCATAGCAATTCACAAAGAAAAGGGATGTTTGGAGAGCCATGATAGCTTATGTGATTTTAGAAAATATTCCTGGGTAAGACGAAAAACTACATCCAGCAGCAAGGCCATTGGGCAGGAGATTGGAGGTTTTGAGGAGCATGGAACGACCTCTTAGTTGCTGTTGTTCCCAGATCCACCCTGACTTGGAGTAGTAGCACCTGATAGTGAACCCCCAAACAAAAACAAAATACTTGAAAGTATAAAATACATTTTTATAGTACTTTATTATAAAACCTAGGTTGTGTGTGTGTGTGTAGGTCCCAGCTATAGGCAAATTTTTAGATTTCAACAAAACTTCACAGGACGACGTAAAATTACCTTGCGGTGGTTCTGACAGCGCCAAAAATTGGAAAAACACAATTGTTTTAATGAAATCAATTTGAAAACACGATTAAGAGGCATCGCTGTCTGAAAAATGAAAGGGGAAACTCATATCGAGTTATACTTATTATAAAAACCCAGGTTTTATGTGTGTGTGTGTGTGTGTGTGTGTGTGTGTGTGTGTGTGTGTGTGTGTGTGTGTGTGTTCGTTTATATGGGAAACATTTTTCAAATTTCAACAAAATACTTTTTGGCAAAACCTTTTCTTTATCTTAACATTTTAGAATGCTTTAAAAATTCCATTTACAAACAATTGTTTATAATAAAATTCTATCAATTTATAATAAAATTGCCAATGTTTTTGTTTGAGTTTGGTTTGACCAATTCGTAAAAAAAATTTAACTAATTAAAATGACCTTAAACAATAACAATTTTATTTTATATGATGGTAGTTGAATAAACATGCAAACCTGCGTTCAAAATACATTTTTTAGTTGAATACATGCAATTGCGTTCAAAATATTTTTAGTTGAAGCCATAAAATTGTGTTCAAGATATTTTGATTTCGGCATTAAATAACCCATAGTGGTTGATATGCCGCTAAAAAAAATCAATCAACAATCATTTAAAAAAAAATAGTAATCTAATCTCAACAAGTTATAAAAAAAAGAAAAGAAAACGAAACATAAATTATGTTTGGTCTTTTCAATGCTAATTTGGTCGAAATAAAATCTATTTTCTTATGAACAACAAAACATGTCAAAACAAAGTTTGTTTTTTCCTAAATTGTTATTATTTCTCATAATTATAAGTACAAATGATGAAAAGCTCATCTCAAACAATTACAGGTGTACTGAATTAATTCCGCAACTATTGTAGATATCTAGAAAAACGATACAATTTGGAAACCTAAACTCGTTTGTGTGATGAACAACGCCAGGTTGATGGTTAAGATAACGTATGCAGTTAACTCCGTCACGTTGTTGTGTTCTTATTTCTCGTTTTCTACGAGAGTCTTCTGATCTCGTTACGTCGAGATTTCAATTATACTACAGTCTGTAAAGTTTGTATACAGCATAAGTTGGTTGTATATAGTCATAGATATATAAATATAATGTAAGGAGAATGGTTATCGGTGCGAAAAGTGGGTTTAGCGTCCCGTGTTCGAATCCCAGTCGAGGTCGTTGTGTTCACTTTTGTATAAATGCCATAAAGAAAGATATGAATCCATTTCTTCTCTCTACTCCAGCTATGGGTAAAATAATAGAGTAGAATAGTCTCTCATGATCATCTTTGTCATACGGTTCGTTCCCATCCTTGCAAGTCATGTGCTGATGTGAAATAACATGATTCTGCACCTGACTCCTTTGATGGCCTGGTGTGTTATCGAGTGCAAATTCTATTCTGACATGATACGGGTTGAAACACACGCACACAGACATACAAACACACTACAGATTCTTGCCTTTTCGTAGGATATTAGTGTAATGTGAACACAAAAGATTCGGTTAGAATTGAACTCACGCAAATATATATATGCGACTTTGATTGAAACACCGGTTAAGTAACGGTGAGCCTAGTCAATACCTAGATGGGTGACCACTTGGGAATACCTGGTGCTTGGATGTGACGGTAGAAATGACTTACATCCACATTACGTTGAAACATTGGTTCCTGTACAATCACCGAAGTTAAGCAATGGTAAGCCTGGTTAGTACATAGATGGGTGACCGCTTGGGAATAACAGGTGCTTGGATGTGACGGTAGAAATGACTTACATCCACTTTATGTTGAAACATTGGTTCCCGTGCGATCATCGAAGTTAAGCAATGGTGAGCCTAGTCAGTACCTAGATGGGTGACCGCTTGGGAATACCAGGTGCTGTAAGCTAGGATGTGCCTTGTAAGAGTGTCTTACAGTCATATCAAGTTGAAACTTTTTTTCCCCGTACGATCAGCGAAGTTAAGCAATGGTGAGTCTGGTCAGTACCCAGATGAGTGACTGCTTGAAAATATCCTTGTGCTATAATCTTAGATGCGAAGATGGTATTATAGAATAGGTAAAGAATCGGAATAAGAAATCGAAGAACCGAGTTTGTTACATTCAATTACTCTCTGGAATGGTATGAATCAATCTCTTCTCCTCCGGCTATGTATTAAATAGCAGAACGAACTGGTTCCTATAACCTTGTTTGGCAACCAGTCTACCGCAGAATGTAACGACAGCCTACTAAGTGATTTCTCCTGCCAAGTCCATCATGAATCGAAAAGAGACATGATCGCCCAAGCAATGCATTACATGTAGTGAGTGCGAAATAATAATAACTCCCTTCACCCACTCCCTTCAAATTCGGGTGAGATGAGGAAGAAGAGGGAAAGGAATTCGCAAGCCTATGTGAAATTTTCTTTGGACCAATGAAAACCTTTCCTTCACAGAAATTGACCGGCGAGCTGAGAAGAAAGATAAAAGGAATTCGCGAGCCTATGTGAAATTGTTTTTGAACCAATGAAAACCTTAGCTTCACAGAAATTAGCCAGTCAACTAAGAAGAAGAAGGAAAGAAAAGTAGCGAGTCTGCGAAATTCTTTTTGATATAAAAATGAAAAGAAAAAATAAATTAATGAGAGAATAACATTAAGTCTTAGCCGCGTGCAGAGAAGAACCCAGATGAGGCTATGCCGAAGGGCAGAGTCTCATCTGGGGAGGTAGACAAATCCAACCCCGTTATTACGGGGTCTATGGGGAATTTTTACCTGAGCCTACGGACTCTGAAAAACCTACGTTAAACCGGCCTTGTGCCACATCCCACTCTGTGGGGAGCTCGGGTAAATACTGAGAATAGTGTCTGAATTCATGTAAAAGGTTTTGTTTTTGTCATCGCGACCAGTGTTGAAGTTCTCGCCAGTATTAAATTATTTATATTATCGGCCTCTGTTATGATGTTGATTTGGGGTTAGTAGAGACAAACGCCAAATAACACGTAACAATAAAAAGGGTTTTAATAGGTTGGTAAAAAGGTACAGAAATACGCCTGAGTAGTCAATCACTCGCTCAGCTAAGAACTTCTCTGTCTATCTGTCTTTTGCCATGCCACTAAAGTCTTTGTTCGCAGACAAGTTCATCTTCAAGAGGGGTGGTAGGTTTCCGACACAACAGCCTCAAAGCACGCGGCACTTTAAAGAATTTTCTCTCAACACTCCAAGAAAGCTAATTATTTCAAACTCACTTCGTCTACTTTTCAATGTGTGCAATCGTAAATCCCTTTTGTGAATAATGAACTCTCTTTGTTTTAAACATTTTAAAATGTTATCTTGTGTCAGATCATTTAATCTGTTGTATGAACATTTCCTCTTTATGACAGTAGATAAAACGATGGACTTTAAAAATTCGGGTTTATTTTCATAAAACGAGTTACTGACAAGCGTGTAAATCCGTAAATAAATTTATCTTTTTTGTTAAAAAATTACCCGTGTGTTTCCTCGTCATTAATAACCGTCATTAATCTTCTTGGCGCGGATAAATCAACTGTTCATTTTAACCCCTATGCCCCACGCCACTATACACCCCAGGATAGGAAGGAGCTAAAGTTGCTTACAGCATTAAACAAGCTGAAAGTGGTCTAAAAATTATGCTTACGAGTTGATATTTGTATTTCAAATGCAATGGCTGGTTTAACTTACTAATGTTCACAAATAAAATAGGTCAACACCGATCGATATACCTGTGACCTTTTTTATATAAAAAAAACAAAACAAAACAAAAACTAATTTGCAGAATTGATGCCCAGTTAATCTTTTATTTCACAAATAAATCAAAGTATAAAGCTTAAGTAGCGAGACAGGATGTTAAATTCAAGGGTTTGGCTTATCATACTAAAGCCAATTACTACATTTTATTTTATTTTTACTGTAGCAACATTCTCAAGGGAATATTTATTTACTTAAACTATATCTGCACCCACGGGTCATATAACAAAAATACTTAATAATAAATAAAAGTAATTAATAATAAAAATGATGGAACATAAACAAAAAGAAAAAGAATCTAAATGAAATCGGCTAGATACCCAAAACATAATTAAAAAAATTAAAATTCTCAGCGTCTCTCTTTCGTTCATGTGTATAGTCTATTCAATGTAAACATAGTGACTAGTCTGATAAAGTCCTAAAGTACAAAACGTGTCACGCCAAAAATTTTCCCCTAAAATTGGTCTATTTTTATATATATATATATATATATATATATATATATATATATATATATATATCGTTATCTCATAGTTTTTGCTTCAAATCAGATTACTTAAACTTTAAATTTATTAATTTTCCTCAAATAACGTTTGAAAAAGTATATTTTATTTTTGCAAGATTTTTAAAACAGAGAATTAACTTTTGTTTACAAATGTCTCAAAAATGGCCGACGTTCTCGATTTTACTGAAAATTACTCACGAGTCCTTAATAATAATAATAATAATAATAATAATAATAATAATAATGATGATAATAATAATAATTTGAAACTAAAAGAATTAATTAATTTTACTTGATCATCAAAGTTTGAGTCATTAGAGGGTAATGTAAAAAATGTCACAAATACAGCATTGTACACGAACCGGGTGATATAATTGTGGAACAGTAAACAATGATATTTCTTTGTTTCATTTACGAATTATAGAACATATTATTCACGTTATATTCATTTACGAGTTATAGAATATATTATTCCTTCTAGGGTTCTTTTGCAGATTTTGCAATTTGGAAATAACACTTATGGACTAAAGACAAACAAAGTCAAACATTTGCTACACAGTGTTATATAACATATTATTCACAGAGAAGGTCCTCGGGTTACGTCGAACCCGACGTATGGCGTTTCGTGGTTACGGCACCATCTCCCATAATATGTCATCACGCATCGCTATATGAAGTAGGCGGTGTTATTTCTTCACCGGCTGTACGCCATATTGGATTATGCTACATTCGCTAACTCTCGTTTTTGTCGTTTTGGGGGGAGAACTTCTTGCCCATCGTTATGGCTTCCAAGCTTTAGGCAAACTTGTAGATGCTTACGTCAAAAATCAGGTTACGTCGCGCCGTAGGAACGGATCTCCAAAGTAAGTCGAGGACCCCTGTATTATTTTAATTTACAAATTACAGCAGAATTTTTATGTCACAAAGAAGTTCCTGGAACTAACAACGCAAAGATGTTTTTACGTTTATTTTATTATTTTTTTTAATGATTGCATGATGTCTTGAAAGCTTGAGGGAATTCAATTGATGTTTGCATAGATCAAGCCGAATGCATGACAAGAAAACCAGACGGTTTTGTAACACACGAAAAGAATCAAAACAGGGAAATGATATCTGTTCAAGACATATTTTTTACTTCGCAAGACTTGAGTTAAAAAAATTTTGCTCTGAATGACGTAGCAAAGATGGTAAGTTTAATCAAAAGTAGGTCTTTTCAATCGCGTGTTTTCAAACGTGCTTAAATGGGTTGTTTGTATACATAATGCTTTTTTTCTACACTGAAGTTCCTTTAGTCGTATCTATGAACTAAAAAAAATGAAAATGTGTGAAATGATTTCTCGTGACGGAAGACAAAATGCTGTGTAATGTCACATGATACATTCTGGCGTTCTGAGATATCGTCAAATGAAAGTATGATCCTTTCTGGCCTTCGGACACATTTTTCTACAAGACACAAAAAATCTTGATAAATCTATTGAGTATTTTTTAGAGGTTTTGTTATAATCTGTCTCTTACTATATATATATATATATATATATATATATATATATATATAACAGATATAGACCATTTTAAGGTTCCATGTAATAAATTATTTTTAGGACCGGACAGCCTTTGGAAGAACTCTTTACGATGATCTGCAGTCCCTTAAAAGGGCTGTGAAATAATTTTTACATGGAATCTTAAAGTGTTCTGTTTTATTTAAGTTATTTGCTCTGGATTTATATTGAGCCTCTGATTTTATCCTAAAGTCTGATGATCCTTAGTTTTCCATAAACTAAATATATATATATATATATATATATATATAAATATATATTATATATATATATATATATATTATATATATATATATATAACCTTCAAACGTTTTTAGTGGGTGTCTGTATTTTTTTATTTTAAAATTTTGTCTACTGGCTGGAAAAATTTAAATTGTGCCCTCCAGTAAGATTTTTACCCTCGTCTGATCCGGAATGCTTTTTGGGTCTATTATACATTTAAAGCATACTGACTCGTTCAAATTTTTATCCTAGTATTTGTAAACAAAGCAATTTCTAAATTAATGGACTTTATTTTATATATATATATATATATATATTATATATCAAATATATTTTTAGTGGTGTCCCAACTCATTTGAAACGGAAAGAAAACAACAAACATTTATTTTTTAAAACATATAGTTTGTCGTCATACAAATGGCTATTGTCAGCAGCTAAAAACATGTACAACTAAAAATGTATCCCTTTGATCCGAGGTTGGACTTTGTTTCAGCAAGACCAGGCCACACAACTGCCAGGTTGGCTAAAGAAAAGTTCAAACAGATGAACGGTGTTGAGATTCTTTCACATCCCCATCAGTCCTGATGTTGAGAGTCTGTTCCGCTCAATGTCAATGACTCCGCGAAATTCAACATTTTATATATGAAGAAGCTTACAGTTTTTTGATTCAAAGCCAGCGAACAGGAAAATTTGACAAATCTTCGAGAATAAAAAGAAGAATAAATGTTGTGTTGCCCCATAAAATTGTTTTTTTTTTCCCTTCCAATGTGACTTTTTTGGCCAACCATATGGGTGGGAGACTAAAAAATTATGTTTACATTGATCGCAACTTCACATACTAAAATTAAAGGAAAAGG